ATGGGTATCGGAACACTGTCGAACGAGCATCACCTCCTAGGGCCCGACACGTGAAAACCCTGAAGTTTCGGTGCTTTCCTGGTGCTCGAGATTCTTTCTGGTAGTCAAGGCTAAAGTAGGTTGGAACATCATAACCCTAGATGGGGTCGGAGTAGATGGGGTCGGAGGATCGCGCCGCATCGCCGATACATCGGCGATGCATCGGCGATGCATCGGCGATGCATCGGTGATGCACAGGCGATGCATCGTCAACGTCGGCGATGCATCGCCGACGTCGGCATGAAGCAAATCCGGCGCCACATCGAGTCGCATCGCCGATTCATCGGCGATGCGGCGCGATCCTCCAACCCCGTCTACTCCGACCCCATCTAGGAGGCCTAGATCCAAGGAATCGGCCCCTCCATCGAGGCTGGGGCGGCTCAGAAGGGACAAGCCCCTGCAGTGCCTGGAAGGCCTGGGGGGGCCTCTCACAGCCGGGGCCCTCCTCAGCAGGCCAGCCCACTCAGCCTGCACCCCCTCTGCGCGCCGCCGACCTTCGACCTCCTGGCCGAAGACCTCCATGCGGTGTGCGCGTGCCCCCTGGGCCGTGAACTCGTCAGGGCCTCTGCTCCTGGCCGTTCCCTCATGGTGCGACGACGCGTGGTGCTACGTCAACAACTCGACCTGCGCGTCGGCCGTCGAGTCGTCGTACGCCCGCCAGGCGACCGCGCGGGGCCCGAGGAGACCCGCCCCACCGGCCTGGCCAGAGGAGAGCCAGGCCGCGCTTCCCAGACGCAGCCAGGGCCAGCCGAGCGGGGCCCCCCCGGGAAGGCGGCTCGGCTCGGCGACGCCGCACTCGGGCCACCCGCAGCCGCTGCAGCGCCGCGCTGCGGCGACCGCCGCCGAGGCGAGCCCGGCGGAGCCTGCAGCGGTCAGCTCGCCCGCACCGCTCGGATCACTCGCTGCCGCTGCAGCTGCCGCTGCCGCTGTCGCCCAGGTAGGCCAGCGGGTCCTGCCCACCCAGGCCGCGCCCCGCAGGGGGCGTGCACGGCCGCAGGCGCTTGGAGCCCTCGGAGGCGCTGAGCCTCTCGCGCCACTCCGCGGCCCTCTCCTCCGCAGCGGCGGCCCGCGCCTCCCTCCTCTCGGAAGGCGCCAGCTTCAGACACCTGCGCCGATCCTGGCCAGGCCGATCCTGGGCCCAGGATCGGTGCCTATGCCTTCCTGGCCAGGCCGAGAAGGCGCGCACAGCGATCCAGCCAAGGATCGGTGCCCAAACCTTCCTTGCCAGGCCAGGTGCAGGTGTACAGTGGGCGCCCTCCGATCCCTGCCGCCGCGGCATCCCTCGCCCTGCGGGCGTGCTGCGCGGCCGCCCGCACGGCGTGCAGGGCCCTGGCGCCGCGCCACCGCCGCAGCGCCAGGGCCGGCGGCAGAGAGAGCGGCGGCGCGGAGGGCACCTCGTCGCCGCACGCGCGGCGCGCGGCAGCCGGCCGCCGCGCGGCAGCGGCCGCGGCCGCCTCGCCCGCCGAGGCGCCCGCGGCCCCGCCGAGGGCCGCCGGCGGGGCGCCCCCGAGCGCCCGCAGCACCAGCTGCGCGCAGCGCCCGAAGTAGAGGTAGCCCGGCCGCCCGGGCAGCTGCAGAGCCTCCGCCCGCGCCCGCAGGCGGCTCGGGTGCTGGAGGGGCAGCTGCCCGAGTAGCGCGTTGGCCGCGTCGTTCAGCTCCCGCAGCTCGGCCTCCGCAGCGCCCTCCGCCTCCAGCTGCCGCAGCAGCAGCCGAAACCGGCCTGCGACCAGCAGCGGGTCGGCGGGCCCTGGGCCGCCGCCGCGGGCGCCCGCGCCGAGGCCGTCCAGCTGGAGCCGCCAGCGGTCCAGGTCGAGCGAAGAGCGGCGGCACCGCTGCATGCTCCGCCGCCGCCGCGCGCGGCGGCAGGGAGGGCGGAGGGGGCCCTTGGCCTGACCCTCGGGCCCAAGCGAGCGCGGAGGGGGGAGGAGGGGACACCCGTGCATCCTCCCAGCCGCGGAGCCAGATCAGAAGGGGCCAACCGCAGGCCGATCGGCCTCCGCCGCGGGAAGCGCGCCGCCCCCCCATGTGGAAACCCCTCGGATCGACGATCTCTCGGGAGGAGTGTCAGGGCCGATGCGTCCTCCTGGGCGGAGTAATGACCGCAGCTCCTCCTGCTCCTCCTCCTCATCATCATCATCAGCCTCCTCCTCTAATTGTTAGTAGTATCACTGTTACTAATATTAGTGTTATTCGGTTTGGTACAGTAGTGATACTAATAAGAGCAACAACAATAACAATACTCATATCCATACTACTAATAATGAGATGAGTAATATTGTCATAGTTCGTACTACTATTTAAAATAATACAAATGGATACTAGTGTCGTTAGTCTGCTGAATACTTGTAGTCGTAGTAGTACTATTAATGTGCACAGTAATACGAGTGAATGCAGTAGTGTTGCTTTTCCAATTAAAATATGTAAAGTATTAGTGCTACATTATTAGTGCTCGTAATCAAGATAATAGTGGCGCTATGAATAGTAGCGCTAGTAGTACGAACATTCGTATTAGCAGCAGCATTATTATAGGTGGTAGTAGTAGTAGTAGTAGTCGTCGTCGTCGTTGCCGAAATATTGTTAACAGTCGTATGCGCAGTATTAGTGGTAGTAGTAGTAGTAG